TTTAGAGCAGAGGAACCCGGCAGACTAAGGAATTGGAATGAATATCATCAGGAATGGGACACTGAATTTTGCACCACCGGGTAGACTGCGATGAGCAGAAGGCAGCCTCCCCCCCCCGTGGAAGTTCCGCCACAGACTCATGGCCTTGATCTAAGCACAACGTGTCTGGCAAACCAGACTGAGAGAAATGCCACACATAACTCATTTTCCAAACAGTCAAGGTCAGGAAGTGAAGGAAAGACTGAACTGTTTTACAATAAAGAAGACTAAACAGATACTAAACTGTGTGATTCCTACCTAAACTTTTATCACTATAGAAAGATGTCAACCAAACAATTAACAGAACTTGGGGAGGGTCCGAGGATTTGTTTCGACTAATGTATCAGCATTAATAGCTTGATTTTGATGATCGTATTGTGGTTCCATAGCTTATTGTCCTTATTTGTAATAAATACGTGTTGAAGTATTCAGGGTGATAGGACTTCGTGTTGGTTGTTTACTCCTAAATAGCTCAGGGAAAAAAAAACCTTAATGTTGTACATAAACCTGTTAATGTTAACATTGTTAACATTTTGGTAATAGAATTTCAGTCAAAGTATTCTCTCCAAAATTAAAGGTATTTACATCAGAGGTTCCCTTTTCACATGCAGAGTTTCTTCTTTTAATTCTTTTCAGAGCTGATCAATGCAAATCATTGAATAAAAGCCATAAAAAGAAATCACCAGCTACTAATTCCACAAAGTTGCGTTCACCAAATAGTTTAAAGGTTAGAGTTTTATGCAGGAGGGCATCTGTATACCTTGACTTAAAGAGACAAAGAAAAGCTGATATCTTAGAAGGCAGCCTCTTCCTGATGTCTTTTTTTATTTTTTATTTTTTGGAGAGGTTTTTTTCGCTATAGGGCGCATGCGCTCGCCAGACAGACAGAGAGAGACAGAGAGAGAGAAAGCAAGAAATCACCCCCCAGGGGGGATGGTCTCGCCGCAATCCCTTCTCCTCCATTCTCCTCTCGGGATCTTGGGCACGCACGCACACGCACCTGATGTGAGTTTTAAGTCACCGGGTCCGGGACGTGACCCGCGGTCGACTACGTGGGAGTCCAGCGACATAGCCATTACGCTGACTGCTGGTTCCCCATTCCCTGATGTCTTTCACGCCTCAGAGTTCTCACTGGAATCAGGCTGAGGTGAGGCTTTAAACGCGCTTCTTTGTCCAGCTTCTCTGCCTGTGCTGTCCTTCCTTCTCCCCTTTTTGGACTCACCAAAGTTCACTTCTTCAACATTCAAAAGGTCTTCACATTTTCATGAACAGGGCCAGCAGATGATGTAATGGTTACGTCACTGGCTGGACTCCCACATAGCTAACCATGGTTCAACTCCCAGACCCGGCAGAAAATACTTTAGACGTGTGCGTGCATGCCTAAAATCCTGAGAAGAGAGTGGAAGAAAAGGGATTGTGGTGTGGACATCT